TGAGTAAATACAGAAGAAAAAACTTACATACTCATTAGAACAAAAGCTGTGAGCACTTATTCTGTGTTCACGCAGCACTGAGAATATCCAGGCAAATGCTTGAGGATTTGCACTAGAACTGTGAATGGTCCTGCTCTGAACTTTGTAGCTTCGTTTTTGTCTGCGGTCAAGGGACTGCTTCCTATTTTCAGAAGCTGTGGTATGCAGAATGTTACAATATAACTGGAGCTTAAACCTCAAAGCAATCATAGCAGCACAAGGAAATAGATAGTCTTGCTAATAATAAGCCTTTGCCTGCACACCTGATCAAGTGCCTTTTGAATAGGCCTCATTCCTTCTTCACTTGAGTTTTCCATTTAACAAGGCAAAATTCTTGCTTGATTGTGTTTTGGCTGGTGGGGTGAAGATGTCTTGATAGCACTTTCCAAAATGCTGCCTTTGGAAAGTCCTTTGCATCCTGTTGGCCTCTCAGCAGTCAGTGAGACCAGGCTTCTAGTTTCCCAGTTCACAGTTTAAGGCAGAAAATGATTTGAATCTGTTTATAGGAGATCATCCTTCTCAGATTTCAGGCTATCAGACAGAGACCTTGTTTTCCTCCCCCTCCTGTTTTCTTTTCCCCCTCTCCCAACACATCCACATACACAGTCCCTGCTGTTTTTGCTGCCTCTCCCGTCATCAAGACCAAATTAACCCAGGTTTGATAGCTAGGCACACCAGTCCCTTGTCCAGGCTGCCTGTCTTTAACATTTGGGCTGCAGGATTATGCTACAGACTACTGTGTGCTGGAGGGATCCAGAATGGCAGGGCTGCTTTGTCAAAAACGTAAAAAAGGAGGTAGGAAAGAATTCAAGTGCAAAATGTGTTTCTAGGCTCCCTGTGTGGAGTAGTCCTGGCTGTGAGCCTCTGGGTTTCTATAACCAAGGCACTCCGTCATGGGCTTTTAAAGTCTGCTTTACTCAATGGAGCTTTACTTTCCTCTGATTAGACTCTTGCTTGTTTCCTTTAGATATAGGGTGGAATCTTTTGCTCTTGTGGACTTGGCTTAACAAACTGGATTTTAAGAGCAAATGTGTGTTTTCAGCCCTATGTGCAATAAGGAATCTGTGCATGTGTGTTTGTGGGGAGAATGGTCTTTTGTTTTTTTGATTCCACCTTAACTTTTTTGAGTTAAGCAGTTCATGGATAAACAGGGAGATCTATCAATTAAAAATTCTTCTTGGGGGTTTTTGTTTAGTTTTTTTTGTTTGGTTTAATGACCACTTCCTTATCTACTCGATCGGTGTTGCCTTTTAAAATTGAACTCTTTGGACTAAGCCACATTTAAAATTTATCTTGTTTTAAAATGCACATTGGTGATTAGTACTTATTAACAGAGCTCCCAGGGAAGTTCCCATTAAGCTCTCGGGGCTGATACTTTTCTGTGGTTGCACAGACCCTGCTCCTGGCAAGGGACCACTTTTCTGTGGTTCCACAGGCCCTGCTCCTGGCATTGGACTTTTGAGCATCATTTACCATGGTGATGTAAATGCTAATAAGGAAGGTGAAATTTCAGGCACAAACAGCTAGTAAATTTGGCTTGGGTTTTTAAAAGAGATATGATTTGAATGGGAATCAGGTATTCAGATTTTAGGCAGCTTTCAGAGTCTTTGCTTTTATTGTCAGGATGCCTCAAAACATTATTTGCAAGTATTCCCTTATTGCATGCATAGTCCTTACATTAAGAAGGAAGTGGGAATATTAGTGTAAGGAAGGATTAAGAGGCCTGAGGCCTAGATTGGCAGTGTTCAGATGAAGGAAGGGTGATGCCATGCTATGAAAACAAGTTCAGTATAACTAACGATGTTTCTATTCCCTGATTATGTTTAGAGGGTTTTCTAAATATATAGGAATGAATGCACATTGTTGTTTATGTATGAATATACCTATAAATCAAGTAATCCTCAATATATTTTCCTTAAATTTATATTTATAAGGTTAAAACCTAAAATGCACACATTAAATTCCATACTCAAGAAAAGCTGCAAGTCTTCTGCTGCCCCCTTTCTACATTGCATGCTTTCTGCAAGCAAGATTGACCTTAGTGGCAGGTGATGTGCTTCTAGCAAAGGGTTAGGGTACCCTTTCTGGCTGTAGGCTAGAATGGCCCACTGCACATCAGAGGTGGCAGACAGGCAGGTGGTAGGATCCAGCCACCACTGCCACCTGTCTCCACGGTCCATAGACGGTGCTTGTCCCACTGGTGGCATGAAGAGAGAACTTGCACCTTGCAGCCCTCTGCTTCTAAAGCCTAAGGTCTGCAGGTCAGATCCAGTGGTTTTGCTGACCCCTGTATTAGCAAGTTAAATCTGGAAAGCCAGTTTGGGTCTGAACAACTGTACCTTTTAACCACTTTAAAAAGGAAGGAGAGCCACTGTTCAGGAGCATGTCAGCTGCTGTAATCTGTTCTGCCTGCATAATCCTGTAGCCATACGAGTTAGCTAAATCACCCAAGAGTTGACACTCATTGAAAGGTTAAATTTGAAGCAATGTTGTTACCTTGGGATCATTAAAGAATCTTACAGTTATAACAGTTTTAACAGCTTGTATCAATATCTTTAGCCTTGGTGAAATTGTCTGTCCACCTTTTTAATGTGGTTCGTATGCCATAGGGCCTCAAAATGTGAGACAGAAATATAAGATGAATATTTTACGCTGAGGGATATTATACATGCTTGATATCCAGCTATAAACCAGAATGAGCTCACGTCTTGGAAGTATCATGAAGAAACGTGTTAACCATTCTAAACACATTTTGGATGCCTGTAAGTTGTTGAGCAGAGGTATATTGTGTTTTTGTTTAGGGCATTAGGCTCCTTTTTGTTACTTTTCTTTATCTATAGAGAAGGGGATGTGAAGAGTGCTGAGAGTCTTCTTGAGTCTGTGCAGTATGCATAGAAATAGATGGAGCATGGGTTGATTTTACTCTGTGGAAGGGGAAGAGTGATCCAATGCTGGGGAGATTAGCTTTTTTCTCAGAAAAGGACTAGCCTGGGTCATTTCCCAATTTGTGTGGCGCTCCTTGTTTTGCTCCATGATGATTTTGGCTCTCTGTCCCTTCTTCCATATGAGCCTGAAATACCCCAAGGGCCAATTCCCCCCTCTCCCCCCTTATATTTTCAAATTTGAATTTTTGCACTCTGCCATGATCAGAATGTGCAGAGGGACCTGAAAACTGAAAATGACAGTAGCAAGGGAGGTTGACCAAAATTCAAGGTGTGTAAAGATATAGCTTGGGTTTTGGACCAGTTCACCAGTTCAGCTCAGGGCTGGGTAATTGTGCTTCAGGGTAAGTTGTTGTGGGAGTGAATCAGGAATTGAAACTTGCATCTCTGAATCCTGAAACCATCAGTTCTATTGCTTGAGTTAGAAGATCTAACCATTAGCCAAGGCTGTAGCAGTCTTCTCAACTTTTGTATGTTCTGACCAGTACTGTGAGTGGACAAAACACCATGTTGAGTAGGCATAGGTTACCAAAATGACAGAGTTTCCCCTTTCCCTGGTACAGTTTCCCTTTTCTTCAAACATAACTCCTAAAAAAATAAAAAGCAACGGTCTGTAAATGGTACTGTCATGGACTCATAAGCACTCTGAAGTTCACAGGGATGGTAAGATCAACAACTTCAGTTAAAGGAGAGGATGTATACAGACACTAAAGGATTTTTCCAACTAGTATTGGGGAGAGGAAGCTCAGTATTCTGACATCAGTTCCATAATTTGGGCTAAAATGTAACACTGAGTCATTGAGCAACTCGGCCAAGATCATAATACAGTGGGGGGCTTGGGATTTGAGCTTCTGTTTGTAACTTCCAGATTTGCATCAAGTTGATGATACTGTGTCTCTCTTTATAACATCAGTAGAAAATCTTCTTGTTTATTTCATGAGTTTTTTTGTGCTCTTTTGAGATTTTGATTGGTTATAGTCACACTTAATAATCTTTGGGGCTCTATAGTTGAAAATACAGTTATAGTTGCCACAAAAGGACATCACTGTTTTTTTGCCCATCTACTCCATGCACAGCTATATGACTAAGGAGATTCATATAAAGAATAGACCTCAGCAACAGAGAGAGGGCCTGTACTTCCTGGCCTGGTCAATGGGAATTTGGAGGTTATTTCTAGACTTGAATGTACTGCAAAATAACTTATGCAGATAGCGTTATGATTTTGTAGAATAAGGAACTAAAAATGATTCCTGTCACAATAATAGGTTTCATATAGGGTTCATAGGGGTCTATGCTGGGTTCAGTGATGTTTTATTAGTGAATTGGATGCCAGAATTAGGTTTCCTGATCAAATTGGCAGATGACTCCATGCTTCAGCTGGAGTACGGTGCACAGTTTTGGACTTGCATTTTAAGTAAGGTGTAGTGAAACTGGAGAAGATCCAGAGGTAAACAATGAAGTCAGTGATAAAGGGGTTGGATTGCGGCTGAACATTTGATAGGGATAATATTGGAATAGCTCAGGCTGCCTCTGTGCAGGAGACTTGGACTCACTAGAGCATTGGGGGCCAACCATTCTGGCAGGCATGCCACAAATTAGCCCCTCACCCTTCCCCAAATGCCACTCTGATCCCATTTCCCTGCACCACCTACTGCTCTGTTTTTTGCTTTCTTTCTGTGCTTCCTGCCCAATTTTGATGCTTTTTTTTCTGCCCTATCCGTCATTGTGCTGCCTGTCCCCTCCCCAGTCTGCCACATGCCATAGATGAGACTACTCATGTCACTTGTGACACCTGTTGAGGTCCCTTTCAGCCCTGGGATTCCATGAAAGCATACTGACTGATTTTGTTTTATTGATGTTTTTGTTTGTTTGTTTTCTGCATCTGCAATTCCTGTTTCCATAAACTATGAACTCCTTTAGAAATGGGTCTTGTAGAGATTTTCTCCTATTATTGTAGGTAAAAATTATATAAATATACAAAGTGTTTTCACTAAAGTCTGTCTGTTTCTTTCTCTTCAGTGAGTGACCTGCAGGAAGAGGGGAAAAATGCCATCAATGCCCCAATGTCTCCTAGCACCATTGACATTCATCCTGAAGATACTCTATTAGGTACAGTATTGCTACTGCTGGAGGCTAGTGTTTGAAAATAGGGGTCAGTATGACCCCAGTGGCTGCAACCAGATGAGCACGGATGTTTGGTTCCCTGGGACCTTGTGCCACAGCTACTTGTTCCTGGGAAATGCCTATGCTACATGTGCTTAGGTGTGTGGCAAGTCACCCTAGGAGTGGTAGGGGAGGCTGGGGGCAGGACTAGGGTGGCCCCAGCAGCCTTATCTGGGGTCCTGGTGGCTTCCTGGGGCTGCAGCACTGGTGATCTTGCTGGGTGGAGCCTGGCTGGCAGCCACAGTGCGGCTCTAGGTGGCCTGGCTGCGCTTTTCAGCAGCACGTGCTGCTTGTGCGTACACGGCTCCGTTTTTTCTTCTGTGAGTTTTTTTGACCCATGGATATTCAGGGGTCAAAACCCACCTTGGTGCAGCACATGCATGGGCAGCACACCTCTGCAGTGTGGAGAATGCCTGACTGTGTGGTATGTGGCACTGCAGACGTGTTTGCGGCACCACATACTGCATGGTCGTGCTGGTCTGGACTTGCCCAGTGTGTGCATAAGTGGTGAAAAGAAATCCAGTCAATTGAACTCAATATAAGTATGAACTGTTGCGCATAGATGTAAGAGAGAAATTAGAAGTGATGACAGGAAATTTAAACAGCAGTGAACTACCACACAAGGATGTTAGAAGCTTACAAGAGAGTTGACTTTTCCACTGGATTGTTAGGGAGAGAAGAACATTACTTTCTCATTTGTGCAGCTGTGGTCAATAAACAGGGATGTGTAAAGAATGAGAAAAGAGTGCCTGCCTTTTAGAATGATCTGACCCATATAACTTTAACTTCTGAAAGCTCCACAGTTTTTATTGCATTTCTTTATCCTAAAGTAAAATAAAAAGAAAAGACCAGAGTAGAGATATACAAATAACAGACACCATAGAAGAGGTAAAACTGAAATGTTCTGTTTATCTTAGAACATGAAGACAATGAGGCGGGCCACACATTTTAAAACTTATAAAAGTAAATTGTATTCAGCCCTCTTAACAATCTATAATTTAACCTGTGGAATGCAGTAGAAGAACACTGCTGAAGTAAATAATGTTTGCTCAGCTGATGAGTTGATTATATGGAGGCTGAGAAAATCTACAGGGAAAGAAAACAGAGCTAAACATTTTCACTCTACTGGGCAAAAGAATAAGGCATTGGCTGGGCTGACTGAAGAAGAAACTTAGCTCGTAGATATGCTGTTCAATCATTGGCCATTTTGGAAATGTAACTCCTTCCTCAGATGCTTCTAATACTAACTGTTTTGAGAGGCTGGATACTAGATTAGTAGGGGTGCACCAACAATAAAGATTTTTTTGGCCGATACTAATGGCTGATTATTAACCAGCCATATCGGCTTATGCTGATCTGATAGCTGACATGCAGCCCAGCAGGTTGGAGAGCATTATCTGGATAGTAAGACTGCGGGGGGGCA